GAATTCAAGCAGCCTTTGCCACTTTGATCAGCGTGCAACCTGAAAACACTTCCCAGCGAATATCATATCTCCAACTATCAGATATGATTTGCTGACAGTACATTCAACTAGTTGCCAACTATTGGGACGCCCAAATGGTGCGGTTTGCCCGCCTAGGCAAAACAAGTAGACACCAACGAGATTGCTGTTTGCGTCTGTGCTGTGCCAGTCTGTACCTGTATTTGTGTGTCCGGGCGTCTGCATCTGTCTCTGCGTCCGCGTGCGCCAAATCCCGGTTTCATTCATAGGCCTTTCCCGGGCAATTTTGTCATGCTACGCCCAGTCGGTCAAACACTCAACCAAGGTCAGGTGCAGACCGGCAAATCTGGTGCTTCAAAGACATGGACAGTGCTTACTGGAGGCTGCAATGTCTCACACGTGCACTTAACAGTTTTCTTTTGCGGCACAGCTCTGGCTTGACGGACCATTCTTCCCGCCGCATCAAAGAACGTAGAACGCCCAGATAACACAAGTGCGTGATGATGCGTCGAAAACGCTGAGCTATCGTCTCAGACCAATCAGTATCATGATGGTTGCAGGACTATGCATGGCGCCCAATCGGACAAGGAAGCAAGTTACCAGAGTTCCAGCCAACCGGATGAAACAAAGACAGAGTTGTTCCAAAAAACAGACCAAAAGCGAAGTGACGCCGCCAGGCTCTAGTGCAGCCTCCTGTAGATGATCAGCTGACAAAACCGAAGCGTACCAAGGCGCGCCCAGGCGTCTTGCCTCCCCGAGAGCCTTTAGTCCCGTGAGATGCCTCGAAGGTGAAGTACTTCTTCAGGTTCTTAATGATCATCACCTAGCAAGGAACCCCTTTTTAGGCGGCTGGCCAAAAACACGCTTAAACAAAACCAAGAGGAAGTTCGCAGGGTCTGAATGGTCACCGGGGATTGGCTTCTGCGAAGGCGAGCCCGTATTGAAGTTGCAATACAATACTACTATTGCAAGCAAGGCACCAAGAATGGCAGCTTGATACCAAGAGTCTTTGCCGGGTCGGCAGGGCAGGTGATGTAGGTTGTGCTCACGTTCGTGCCCATGATCTCCTGTCGATTAGGTAAGGCTTTGCATAGACCAAACGCGTCTCGCTCAATAACGTGCACCCTTTGGGAGGTGTCATACGGTTGAGGCGAAGCCATATAACGGCCATACTGTTGTTGACACAAATGTGTATGTATATATAGATATACATAGTATATGTAGGCTGCCTAGGCATTGCAAGTGTGGAGTTGGACTATTGGGGTGTTTGAGAGTGGCTCGGGTCATTTTGGTACATCCTGCAACCATCCAATAAGAGACAAGCACAGCACATACATAAGAGTGTTGTCACACCAGTCAGTCGATCAACCCCTCTGCTCCAGCACGCTTGACTGGATGTCGGAATCCGTGAGCCGCTTGATGTGGCCATTGCGAACCTGGCATTGGTCCCAAGTTGCAACCAGTGACCCGAACGGTAGAAAAAGGCAAGCATTTATGGTTATCGTTAGTGGGGTCTCCCCTCAATGAGAATTATATGGTAGTTTGCCATGACCACACAAACACGGGAGCCCGCCAGCAAAAGTTGCAAAAGGGAAGCAGGACGCCAGTGAACAACTGGTACAAGCAGGCGAACGCTGCTTGCCCCCAGTAAAGCAAACAATACACGCAGCATCCGAGGCTGTAACAGCTTATAAGATGTCGGCAGCATCTTGAAGAGCCCTTTGATACAGACAAATTATAAATGTGCTCAAGGGCCATTTGACATGTGCTTGGGCAGCACCGGCATTTGTTGGCAAAACGAACGCTTGTTTATAGTTTAGCTTTTTGGTGTGCACCTGCTGGAACTCAATGATGAAACTGACTGCACTGTGACAGAACGGCTAGCTCGGGCTATCAACTTGTCCCGTCATAGTGCGATATTAAAGCATGAGCTGCGCGCAACTCGGGCGCAACTTGGCGCAGCCTGGAAAAGTGTAGCAGCTTGCTGTTGCTGCTTCAATGCGTTCTCTGTCGCACTCAAAGGCTGGGCTTCAAGTCACGATTCGGCATTTGTGTTTCGAGCAGAATCTGAATGCTTGCTCATTTTGTCGCAGCTCGGCCATTTTATGTTTGATACAGATTCTTCGGGAACAATGGGCTGTACAGGTTCCTAGTTAAGTCCGGTTTATCGCTGTCGGTACACGTCTGTAGAGAGATGGCCCAAACAAATTGCTGGTTTGATGGTAGTCAAACCATCAAGCAAAGTACCTCAACCAAAGTCGGGAAAAGTAGATGATAGTTGTCATGCGATGCTGACATATCTTGGCATGCCCACACAAAAGCTCTCTCCAGATCTGGGCGGATCCAGAACTTGTATGAGCTGTCTAGAGTCTACAACATGTTCCAATTACATCTATGGCAAGCAGTCTTGGAGTCGCACCTAAGTGAGGTTCGATCAACACACAACTCGCCAGAGTGCCTTCTGCGTGCCTCTGTCGACACATAAATGCACGTCACCGACACCTTCCACACATCAAAGAAAGTGACGCTGGCCGACGGGAGGTTTTAATTAAATACAACTAAGTGTCGGGACACGTAAGGCTTTTGCCGTTCCATTGAACACATCACAAATGGAAGCCCAAACTTGCTTGATATCCAAATCGCTGACACTTCGGAGAAGCTGAGTAACCAGTGGACCCCAGGAAGCCCCCGAGGATGCTTTTGTTGAGCCGCGGGCCTTCTTGTCCCAGATCTGCAAGGGCTTGCTGCCGATGGAGTAGAGGATGGACAGAAAGCCAGACTGGTAGGTGTTCTTGAACCTCGGCCCAGGTTACACACATGGGCTAGAGATGTTACGCAGGGAATAGCTGGGCTGATTCCATAGGATGGAAGATGTGGAGGGAGCTAGGAGGGAAAACCCTGGGGTCAGCTTTGAAAATCCAGACCCATGCAGTCCAAACATTTTGCCTACACATTTGCACAGTGAATTCAGCTTTCAAAGTTATGATAAGACTACGGAAAGCGAACAGCCTCAGGCAACGCCGATCAAGGTGCCTGGATGAAATTGGGTTCTGTATGAAGGAAGCTGGGAAGAGCCTGAACATGAGATGCACATTAAACAAGAAGTCACACTAGACAACGGCTGGCCGGCCCAGAAGCACACAGCAATCGTGACTGCAAAGAAATACAACCCATGCTTTCTTGTATCCCCATTCAAATTGCCATCAAAGGGCACTTGTGAAATTGCGCCAAGCGTATCTTGCTCAAGTGCATCTTGCTCAAGCATACCTTGCCCAAGAGCATCTTGCTCAAGATTCAAGTGCACCTTTCTCAAGCGCACTGTATCTTGCTCGAATGTATCGTGCTCGATTGTATCTTGCTCGAGCTTACTTGTCTCAAGTATATTGTTCATGCGTGTTTGTTCGAGTGTTTCTGGCTCATGTCTATCGACACGAACGTATGTTGCGAGTGGATCTTGCTCAAGTAAATATTGGTCAAATCTTGCTCAAGGGCATTTTGCTGAAGTGTATGCTGTTCAATCACGTCTTGACCTCGCACATTAAATGTAGATATCTTGCACGTGTGGCTCGAACCGCCCTTTGTGGACAAGCCTTCACATTCCGCAGAACTATTACTTCGCGAACGGCCTTTCATTGACATGTGTTCAAAGCTTGCAACAGCTGTACACTTTGCGAACACGCACTTTGCATATGTCCGTAAATCAAAACGATATTCGGACTGGAACCAACAAAACACAGTTCTCAGGCTACCTTCGCACGCTGTACTTTCAAGTGCGCGAACCAGGGGGTGTCGAGGAGAGCGAGTGGGCCACAAGACAAGCTTTCAGCCCCATCGCCGCAGTGGGAAAGCAACATCTTCCTTCTGACTCGACGAACCAGCACCCTTATCCATTGATTGATCCATGATTAAGTCCCCCTCCCCCCTCAGCAGGCTCAAAGGCTGGCGGCTGCGCCCATCCTAATCCTTCTCAAGGGCCGTGCTTGTGCCGACAATTTCCCTCTAAGACGCGACAACGCGCGCCACGAGACAAACTTTGGACCATGAACAAAAAACGAGAGCCACGAGTTGCACGACCCTGACGCGATACAAACTCTATAGATGCACGCAAATAAACTAGTCGTGTTACCGTGACACACACAAAAAAGGCAAAGGGCGCCATCCGGCATCAAGATTACGTACAACATCACAAGTTGTTTGACCTTGACACGCACCATCCGCGCAGCCGGGCCCACAGAGCGGCCATGATTGAGAGTAAACTGAGACGTTGGTATTGAAACAGGGAACTGAGACAGTTTACAGTGGGCTATGTGATTGGCATTGATACTAGGCAGTGAAATCAAAGCAGTACTACTCGGGCAGTTAACTATGTGATTAACAGTGATATTGAAGCAATGACACTGAGAGGCTGCTTTTAGAAGAAGAACCGGGGGGAAAAGTTCCACCATGCTGTCAAATTACCTGAACATCGCAATTCTAGAGCAATACCCCACAAGCAAATGAAACGGCTCTGAATTCCGTTAGCATTATGCCCGTCCACACATGGATCCAACCAATGATCCAGCATGCCACATGTGCACACAGAGATATCAATATACAACTTAGATGTAAATGATATATGTAGTTGTGTAATATACATATTATATGTTTAAACACATACACTGATTCACATCAGTCTGTGTCTTGAACAAACATGCACACTTGCGTAGCCTTGAATAGCTGCATTGTCATATGCATCACTTAGTCGCCTGCCACCCGCCCGCTTGTGACAAGTTGCATGCTGGCGTGCTGGCAACCCGCTTTCCCTCGCTTTCGGCTTGAGCCGGAGTGACTTCGTCTGCAGGAAAACCGGCCATACACATCTGGCATCAGGATCAGTTTAGGCCCTTCAAGTATGGCAACTCACTGAGGCCTATGCGAGCACCAAAGAACCATTCACACAGACCAAACCTTTCCGCCAGCGAGACAGCTAACGATGGTTTCTCCTCGAGCTGCTGCCGCATGTCGTCTACTGGCCAGGGTCGAGTTGAGTGACGCAGTGAGGTGAGGAGCTTGGGTGTTCACAGCGGAGTCCCTAAATTCTATTGGTGACCCTGGATTACATTGGAGCGTCTTCGTTTGGTAGCCCAGTCCGTTCTGACCAACGGGGTTCTGGAGCTATAGTGGAATTTCCCAAAGCATTCAGCTCCAGCCAACCAAACCAAGAAACACATCCAGATTCAAGAACGCGGGCAGGCTCCTTTCCCCTTGGTCTGGCCCACAAAGGCAGGCTCTCTTCAGCAAGCACATAGAATACCCGGAAGCACACACAACCAACAGTGGCAACGGCACACGGTCTTTTACACACGTGCCGCTGAACATGTGACGTGCATAGGTTTTGTTTAACACCAACAAATGCACAAAAACGTCATGTGAAAGCACTTGAGATCCAATCACTTTATCGGTGTCGACTTGGCTCCAGGGGTTGCTTGCAGCACTGCAAGTGACGCTAATATGATCTTGATGGTGTACAGTATCAGGCTGTTGCACGAGCCTGACAGCTCTATCCCGTGCGAGTTTCAACCTTGATCTAGCAGGTGCATGAGGGAATCCGGCCAATGTCCAATTCAAACCCAGTGAACATGAGAGTGAAGGTCAAAGCAACTTTCAACACGCGTAGCCCCTTACAGCTGCTGCAGGTCAAAGGGCTTGGAGACCAAGCAAATATTTCTTGGAGAATCAAATCGCCCTTCTGACAGTGCAAAACGTTCGGCTAGTGGGAAGGTCTTTGTGCTCACCCAAAAAACGTGCTACAAGCAACCCGAACAAAAACAATCTGCCAATACCCCAACCAGCCTCCATCGCGCAGCGCTTCAAGTTCTGCATGTTTGGCTCCCTGGGCACCAAACAGCAAAAAACGCTTGGCGATCTGAATAGCAACTCACACGGATTGAGTTGACTAATCAATTCACACCCCGAGTCTTTGGCATCCTTCTCCGTCATGGCGTTTTTCAAGAAACCAAACAGGTCGTAGCTATAGGGTGGATAACCTGACTTGTGTGCCAAGCCGGAGCCATCGCGCAAAACGCAAAACACAAGTTCGGCCCCTCTTCACTGTTGCGACATGAATGCAACATGAATGGCAATCCGAGAAGTTCCGAGATCTTCTTGGCACATTTCAAATTTGTTGGGGCGGGTGGCAAAAATAGAGACCTTTGAACCCGGTGTCATTTCGTGTCATCGTCTAACGGGAACCCCCAAAAAAGGCCGCCAATTCGCCAAACCTATAACGCATGCTGAGCTGCCGAAGGTGTGCGGCGCTCGCTTTGGTCGTCCGGTCTGCTTCCTAAGCATTGGAAAGAGTGCTCGAGACTGCAAATTGGCAGCCAGCCATTGCCCGGGTATCAAGAAAGCTATGCATGGCATGCAAATGCACAGTGCATATATGGAGTGGCTCAAATCCATCTGGATCCAAGGCTCGTTCTGGCAAAGCCCGGTGCGGCGAAAATGAGAGCTCCTGCATGCCGGACCCGTGCGCCGTCGAAAGACATCAACAGGCACAGCGGAAAGAGCACACGGCCGCGCTCGCGTTACTCGTGGCAGGCCTACCCTGCGATCTGCAGTTCAGCCTGGATCAAAGTTGAGGTCAAGGGGGGTGACACTCATATGCCAAAAACGTGTGGCTGCTGCCCAAACCGGTGATCATGTTCGCACCCAAAATGGACCAAATGAGGCCATACCCCCCCGCCCCTCACATTAGTTTCAATGGGTGCCTCGGGTGAAGACTTGGCAAAAGTAGCATGGGGCCACTGCCAGGGCTCATTGACTTCCAGCCCGACTGGGTCCATGAAACAGGGCTCGTGGCTCGGATCACAGGGCCCCCAAAGTAGATTTGAGAATTGCCAAGGAGTGCTCACTTTGCGGGGCCCGAAAACGGCCTCTGCTTGCCAGCCGGCGTGCTCCATGACGGCCTGCAAGGCATGGAGCAAAAGGAAGCGGTGAAGGCCGGGCTTGCAAGCAAAAAGACTTCCTGGAGTCTCCATGATCCTTAAAAAAATGGGGTCATTACCCAAACTAATGGGGTCATTAGACGCATTGTTTAAAGGTCATGGAGACTCCAGGTTGTTCCCAAAGACCTTTTCAATCAAAGGCTCTGCTTTGGCTTTGCGCTCCGATGGAACACCTCAAAACGGAAATTTCCCAAAGTTCCGGAATTTGGGTCCCACTCCCTCGACTCCAATGGCAAAGGCAGAGCCTTGCAGCTGGAAATGAACATGACAATCAGGACAGCTAAAAGAGACGGGTTGCACACCGCACCATAGCTGCCCAAAAATAATATTGCATGTGTTCTTCATCCAACGCACAAAGCAATCACCACCACACTTATTCATGTAACATACATGCTACTGCTTGATTCTGCCTTATGCAAGGCACATAGTTCGTGGATCCAAACAAAGGGCATCCTTCATCACGAACTGAATTTGCATGGAGGGTTCCTGGTCAGATACCTGCCACTCATGCAAATATCCAGCCGAAGGCTCAAGCGGCTGACTGAGCATGAATGCATCCATGTCCCTTACACGCTCGACACTTACTCAATATGTGGCTTCCTCTCCAGTTCGAGGAACCATGACACATGTTTGGCTTCCTTTCGGGATAACCTGAAAGCACCCCCTTTTGGGGTGGCATCAAATAAAAAACTCCGCGGAAGTGTGGCATGAACTTTAGTGGCTTCCTGTGGTTTCCCAAATCGATTGTAGATTCATGAGAACCCAAACGAAATCGACCCCCGGCGAACTTACAGGAGGCTTCCCCCAAAAGTAAGCGGAGCTCGGACAACTCAGTCCGAATCCAAGCCTCTTGGAACAGCTTTTCAAGATGATCCACAAAATTGGGCGTGTCATTTTTGGGGGATCCCCAAAATGGTGGGTTTCCTTTGTGTTTCCCTTTATACCAACCCCAAACAAGGTTCCTAAGTCAGTGATTCCCTGCTTGGAGGCTCAGTCCACACCATGCCTGCAAGTTGGCCTCACCTGGCGACGATGCTGCCGTCAAACCCCAAATCCAAGCCCGGCAAACCCTGATCCGAGGAATCCTACTGCAAGCAGGGGATGTCGCCCATGGCTTGTTGCAACTTTGCGTTAAATGCATGTTTTTCAGTTGGTGTCCAATGGTTTGGCAACTGTTGAGATATTGCGTGTTGCTTGGCTTTCTTTTTCGGACAACAAGTCAAGGCAACACGGATTTGCTGGCAGAAGGCCTGAGTTGTGCGCTCTAATCTAGGCAAGGCAGCGATACACAATTGCAAAAGTTCTCTGGTGTCAAATAGATCATGTGACCTTACCTTGAGTGTGAAACATGATGTGTTTGATGAGAGCCATACAGCAGACAGTTGCATAACTCAGGCGCAAAGTTCCTGCAAAGTAGTGCTTCTCCGTAAGAATGCTTCAAAATATTCATAGAGACCGAGGAGAAAGCAAGCCCTTCTCGCAGGTCATCAAACATGTCTAACCTTTGTACAGTTACTGTACGATGCAACAAAGGTGGGAACTCACTTAGACGCAAACACACAAGCAGAGTGTCCTAGCATTCAACAATACACACTGTACAACGTCAGAGAGCACATGCAACAGTCAATGAAGGAACTGACAAACATCGACTTGACTCGCAAGCATGTCAACTGCAAGTGCTGGTTGGCTGCCTGTAGCAAGTACAGTGCTTACATCCAAATGCATGAACCTCACATGAGGCATTCTTGCAACCCGGAGTCTTATACAGCCTCTGCATGGCTCTCTCCTCCGTTCAATTCAAGAGACTTTCTAGACAATCGGCTTCTATTGTCTTGTGGTCAAAAAGTCTGAGTAAGTACGAAGCATTGGCAAACCTAAGCGGAGGCACCCACAATTGGCCCGGAGACAACTCACCCTAAAAAGAAAACATGACATACCCTGTTAACAATGTCCAACTGCCACGTGCCCGTTCCCAGGAGCAACAGGTCGACCCCATCAATGCATGCTCGCATAGAACATTTCAGATCCTCATTTGGCACTCACTTGCACCGTGGAAACATGAAGGAACTCGTTTCTACCTGGAGCAAATCTGTGCTGTGCTCTGAAAGACGGAGATTTGCGTTGGCTCGCAGCACAGAACCCACTGTCATCCCTTCCTTAACCAGTGAAGACATCACGAATCACACTGGCTAGGCAGCACTGTCAACTTCGGACGAATTTCCCCGTTACATGGCTTCCCCAACCACCCCTGAGTCGGGACAAGTTTGCTCCCCTGACTCCAAACAAATCCACTGAACCCCGGCGAGAGGTTCCCCAAAGCGAAACGGTGCCTTCCAGGAGCCGAGCCCCGTGGTTGGCCAGCACGCTGTTCAGCGCATCCAGGCGGCCCGACAGCTCCGACCTAAGCGTCTCAAACATTTTGGTAACTACTTCCTGAACCAGAAAGGCCTAGGCTTTTTGCTGGCCACAAAAATGGGTCTTCCAAAAAAACATGACGTCCAGGGAGTGGATCATCTTCAGAGGTGTTGGGCATGAACCTAGGAATCTCCTAGGAAAACACAATGGGGACCCCCAAAAAATGGTGGCAAAAGGGCTCACTACTGACAAACTTTGATAATTCTGCTCAGGTTCCGCCCCCGCACCTCCCCAGTTGTCTCTCGTAATTTGGGGAGCGCTGCCAAGTCCATCCCATTTGCGGACAACACATGACGGTGTATACCTAGGTCTTCCATTTGGTCACTTTTTGGGCTTTGGGCATTTGTTTGCTCGCTGCAGAATTTGAGTGGAAAATTCTGAATGCGCGGACGGCGGACTTGGCCAGTTTTCTCCCAGAAAATGAGCGGACATCGGCGACACATAAGCGGAATTCAGCGGGAACTGAGCTGAAATTGGTGGACGCACACCGGAACAATTCTTCCATTGAGCGTTTGTCTAATTTTGTGTTTGAGTGAAATGAGTTGTTTGTTTGCTCACAAAAAAGTGCCCAAGGAAGATCTAGTTACACTATATGTGAAGGGTCAGTCCAGCGGGCCAACGGGCTTGATGATCCGTTTGCCATGCAGAGTACAGTTGAAGAGAACCCCTCCCGTGAGTCAAATATGTATATGGGGTACATATATACGGGTTACATGGTGGATCTATGGTGAAGGTTAGGTTTGATCAAACCCACTTCATGACCTGTCTCGCAAGCAAGCAAACTATGCACATTGCAGGACTGACCTCACGGCACAAGCACGCTCCATCACTCTTTCGCTAAGCCACTTCGTCATGCAAAGCAGTCCCCTGCCGCATCCTGAAGTTTCCCTCTGGACCTAAGGCAGAAGCCTGTCACAGAAATGCTCGCCTTCACTGGTTGAGTCGATAGGGAGGTTGATTCGATAGGGAAACCAGGACAGCGATAGGTTCGAGAAGCAGTGGTGGTACGCTGCGGATCTGTACAGCCGCCGTCCACTTAGGGAAACCCGTGGGCTTCCGACTCTCCGCAGGGTCCCTTGCATTCAGGGCATGCTCCCTCTCTCTGAGGCGGCCTCTTTGCCAGAAGGCAGGCTTGCTGCTCGGGTCTGGTCGAAGTATCAAGATACTCATGAGCGAATGTTTGACCAAAGACAACTCGAAACAAAGCTGAGGTGGTCTTGCACCTGATCAAGCAAGCAATCTTGAAGTCAAGTTCCGCTGGCTGAATGATGGATCAGCTGTGTCAACAAGTCCTGGCTATGCAGTTGCATTTCCTCATCCTGAGAATGCAGAAGTAGCCACAACACATGGTCCAACTTCGGCCAAGTGTGACAAAAACGTGAATGGTGGATCCCGTTTCGCACTCAGGCCACTTCCGCAGCAAAGGCCTTCGAAAGCAACGGGTCTTTTGCTCGTTAGGCCAGGACCCACTCGGGGGGCACCTTGACCCCAGCGGCTGCCAGGGCGAACTCTCGCTCTGCGAACACGGAGGAGCTCGCCTCGGTCAGCGCTTCACGGCCGGAGAAGCAGCAAGGCATCCTCTCGCCGTTTGGAGGGGTCCGAGCTGTGAAGAAAAGGACCTGCCAGAACATGGGTTCTATTCATTTGCCAAGCTGGGGCAGGCAGAATTGCCGACAGTTCAGGTGGCTACTGCTATGTGTCCAAACACAAACACACAAACACAAAGAGAAACATAACAACGCAAACAACACAAGCAACACACGCAACACAAACAACACAAACAACACAAGCAACACACGCAACCACCCAAAGCAACACCCAACAACACATCAGCAAGCACGCAAGCAAACACACAAACATGCAAACAAACACAGAAACAAACACACAAACAAACAAACAAACAAACAAACAAACAAACAAACAAACAAACAAACAACCAACCAAACAAACACACAACAACACAAACACACAAGCAAGCAAGCAAGCAAACAAACAAGCAAGCAAACAAGCAAACAAACAAACACACAAACAAACAATCAAACAATCAAACACACGCACAAACACGCACAAACACGCATCAGATGTATACAATATGTGCATAGCCATATCGTACACGTACATATGTATGCAACTGTGCATATATGTCGTACATACTGTGTAGACGTGAGCATTTGTGGCACTGCGAATGTGAGCAATCATCTAAGTGTATCCACGATCTTGGAAAGCATTTGACAAGAAACCCGGCTGAGCACATCATACTCTTGGAAGAACCAGCAGAAGGGTAGTCCTTTGAGACTGTCTTTGGCGAGTCTTCGGAAGCTTGGCTTCATGGGTTCGCCTCATAGGAGGACACCTCGCCTGTCCGGTTAATTATACAAGTGACACCCAACAAGGGGTATTCTCCAATCTACAACCAACACCGGGTGGTCCTTCGATCAATTCGGAACCAGCTTGGCATTCTGCAAGGAAGCACTTTTCTGTTGTGCATAGAGGGACCTGGGACCCGATATGGCCGTTTTTGGTGGTCGAACGGCCTTTGACCCATAAAATGGTCATAGGTTGTTTCAAGTTGATTTTCAACAACATGTCATTGACCATTTGCGCAAATGCCCTAAAAACATGGTCATACAGGCAAATATGGCCAAATGCAGGGGATTGACCAAACAAAATAAGGGGTGCCAGGGATCTAACACTGTTTTCAGCAAGAACACATTCCAAGTTTCGGGAGTGGGAAGTCCCAAGACCAGTTCAATGAGTTGTATTGACGAAGAACTGGAACCTGCTTGGTCCTCAGAGAACACCTCATCTGAACCATATTCCCTTGATATGCGATGAAGCTGCTCTATCTGTACCCCTTAGGGGCGCATAGGAAGGCATTAGTAAGGATTGCTGCTGCTATTGACAAGCAGCGGCAATTGCTGGTTTGCCCCATCTCCCCGCTCAGGGATTCAAAGCAAACCACTCGCACAAGAAACACCCAGGATAGAAAACAACTTTGAAGCCCACGACCTGTGGGGTCAACGCTTGACTGGTCAGAAAGGCGATGCAACAAAGTCATTCCATCCGTCCAGCCCAATCTCTGCGAAGGTGCGAACTGCTCCGCGGCACGCCTTGACGGAAGCTGGGCCATGAGATATGTGAGATGGGTATGTGTCAAAATTGGGTTTAGGTGTCCATTTTGGCTAAGCTGAAAAGGGTATGTCAAAAGGGTACTTCCCCTTTAAAAACAAACAACACCCAGAGGCCAAGCTAGAACAGCTTGGCAGAAAGATCAAGTGGGACCCAAACTGTCCTCTATGAGGATGGCTTGCAAGGAGCATTCACAATACTTCGGTGTCCTTCAAGCTCATTCAAATTTGGGGTGAATTTGGGATAGTGCTTGGATTTGCGCTTAGCTTGACGTCCGCCAATAATGCTGAGGTGTCAACCAGTTCAGTCAACCAAAAGGGCTGCCAAAATATAGCGCAAAAGCAACGGCTACAATTTAGCCATTCCCGAAACGATTTGTTGGATTTATGTTATCTGTTTGGATTTGTGCTGGCATTGTTCGGCAGTTCGGCATGTGTTGGACACTTGGTGGCTTTGCTTGGCATGTGTGTTGACGGTATTGAATGCTATATTGGTTGAACGTTCTCATTCCATTGGATTGGGGTTTAATGTGTTTGTGTTCTTAAAATGTGTCTGTTTTTGTTTCTTGTTGAAATCTGAAAGGTGCTTGCACAAGGGCAATAATATGAAATAATGCATCAAATGCCTGAAAGGATCCATGCCAGACAAACCTGTGCCAAGTGGCATGTGTGTAGCATCTAAAGAACGCATAGCAACCCCAGGATGATTTGGCATGATCCAAATGCGCCTGCGCTCCCTCTTCTTCCAGGAATGGTTCAGCATAAAACAAAGGGATTTGGAATAAAACAGCAGCATTTGGAATGAAACAGAGCCTTTCAGAATGAAAAGGACGTTGTCTGAATGTTTTGGCCTGCAGCGGCTCGTGTGATGAGTAGCCCTTTGACAAGTAGCCCTAGGTTTCAAAATGAAACTGTCAGCTGCATTCACGGGAGCTTTAGGATTTCTGACAGTGCTGCCAAACATGCCAGTCCTCAAAGGGCGCCTCATTTGACACGAAGCTGCACTGTTGTGGCTCCATATGAAATGCTGACAACACGTCATCGACGGAGGAAATGTGTTGTCTTGTCCATGTCAGTGATACATAATATAGATATACAAATGAACACAATCAGTTTCTGTCTTCTTTGTAACAACGCACAAAGAGAGGATTGCTCTGCATTGCAAAAGGTCACAAACTTTGATGTGCCGCCAAGCGTGCGCTAGAGTCAGCTGCATTTGATGGTCAATACCAGACATAAAACGGGTATATGACGATTGTCCTTTTTAATGTCCATTCAAACAAACCGCAAAAGGGGCTACCCTAAAAACAAACACAGCCCCATATTGCACTTGCTCCAAAACACCTTACGCAATTCAACGAAATCAACTGCATAATGGAAAGTCTTGCTTGCTCCGCCGCTTTTTGCTTTCCGGCCAAACGTGTCAGCATGTAACATGTGTGTCCAAGATCTGCCGAGACCCCCAGTGGGGCAAGGATAAACCCAAAGGGAAGACTTGCTTTTGGTAGTTGATACTGGGGGGAAACCTGGAAAGAAAACACGGCACTGTTGGGTGTCTGGGTCTGCATCACTGCACCGGTTTCCGTTCCTGGCGTTGATTCACATCTTCGAGAAGCGCTGGCTGCAGCTTGGTTACTCGTCTTGCTGATAAGCCAAGTACACGATCTCGGGGTCCTCCTGTGGTGGTGAATGTGCACCCAGTTCCTTAAAACAATCAGGGAGACGATATCTTATGCACGGCGAACACTGAGGGTCCCTGTTCCCCAGCTGTCTCAGCTGTCAAGTGAGGCGTGCTGGAGACACGTTTCACGGCCTCACACGAGTCATGCATGGGGACTGCAGTGTGATACTATGTTTG